ACCTTCCAACAGGACAATGACCCTAAGCACACAGCAAGAGTGGCTTATAGACAACTGTAAAGATGTCCTTGAGTGGCCCAGCCACAGCCTGGGCTTGAACCCAATCAAATATTTCTGGAGAAACCTGAAAATATGTGTCTGCCCCATCCAACCTGACAGAGCTTGAGGTGAAGAATGGTAGATAATTGCGAAATGCTGATGAGCAAAGCTTGTCGCATCAAACAAAAAAAGACGAGGCTGTAAAGGTGCTTCAGCTAAATATTTAGTTTTTTATTTTTAATAAATTTACGAAGTTGTGACAATTCTGTTTTTGCTTTGTCAGTATGGTGTATGGAGTGTAGATTGATGTGGAAAAAAAGTAATTTAAAGAAGTTTATCAGAAGGCAGCAACATAAAATGTAAAAAAAATGAAGGGGTATGAATACTTTCGCAAGGCACTATATATATATGTGTGTGTGTGTGTGTATTTTTCACAGCTATATTGGTAATTTTATTAATATTACTCAGTCCTATTGTTAAGTAATAATATGTTTTTGTAATGGCATTGTCCATCTTCTAGATGCAGTTTGTCACCAATCAAACCAAACAATGTTTTCTCACTCCAGGCTGCCATGGAAATGCCAACACAATGTAAAGCTACCCATTACCCCACCTCTCTCATCCACCTCAAATCTTGCTGGGACTGAGCAAGAACTGAACGACTCTCCTCAAAATAAATGTGACTTTTGAATGAACTCAAGAAACATCACCCTGCTTCACACGGGCTTTTATGTGCAGGCAGAGCAGCAAGTCTCCCTGGATTGCTTTTTCCCCATACGCTTTGATCTGGTCTGATGGATACAGACTGAAAGTGTTTAGAAGAAGAGCCTAGGAAGATCTGATGGACGACTGGTTTGGGTGTCAGTACATTTCCTCGCAGAGTCCCATTGGAGAGATCACTGGTTTTAAATGTAGGCTGTTATTAAGTGCTGTCCCAGTTAATTATAAAAAATCCAATGTTGAGGAATGTAGAACACTAAGAGGAATTGACACATTATGCCTCCCAGCCTTTCCTTATATAATAATGGCTCATAGCTACATGATCTTGAAATCCAGACGAGATGCGTTTTATAAATGAATTTACTCTGTTGTAAGAGATCAATGCATCATAAATGATCTTGACATAAATGACCCCTCCACTGAACTTGAACATTTGAGGGGATGAAATATAGTGTCATTTCCTCTCATTAATCCCTACGAAGTATTTAAAAGGGTTTAAAGATGGTCACAAGGACAAAATATTTATATTTGTAATGTACGTAGTATGTGAGTACTAAAAAAAGCATCTATTGTTCAATGCCTCCTTTGATATTTTTCTCATTGATCTTGATCTCTTTTTTTTTTTTAACTAAAGACGTTAAACAGATGTAATAATGTTGATTATGTTGCATAAGATCTGTAACCTATGTTTCCAGTTCTGTTTGTGTGGATGCTTGTTTAACGCCAATATGTGTTGGTGTAGCTGTGCTCTTATCCTAAATAATCTCTGTATAATGAATATGCGCCTAATTATACTGCATTTAACTAACTGCTGTCTCACTTGCTTTATTGGGATATCATGTGTATGTGAAGTTACCTGGTGCTTTTCTGCAGCTGACATTGCACACAGTTGCTATAGTGTTAGAAATTGAAAAGTGATTCTTTTAAAAGAAAGGGATGACACTTTTCTGCGAATATAGTACATAATGGTGTAACATTACATTTTTCACAAATCCTACTTTTTTATTCAAATAAATATTTTTAAAAAATTTTATTTAAACATTTTTTTTATTCTGAATGTATTTAACTATTAAATGTTACATCCAAAAATACAAAAAAAAAGAGAGAAAAAAATCACGTCATTAACGTAGCATGAAATATAGCTAGTTTTAAAAACATCAAATGCCTGTCCCACCTCAGAGGTCTTGCCCTTTTAGACTAGTAATATCATAGGTCATAATATTTCTGATCCATGGCTTCAGTTTTTAGTTTTATGGTGGTTTATTGGCATGGCAAATATTTGTACAATGTATTGCCAAAGCAATTGCAGTGTTGTTGTGCGAAACAATAAAATACAATAAAAAGTGCAAAATGAAAATAGAGCAAGACAACATAAATTATGGGAAAAAGCCTAATTGGTGGAGATATTAATAAATATTATATGTAATATTTATATAATAAGTAGTGCTGTCAAACGATTAATCGCGATTAATATACATATATATATATATATATATATATATATACAGTGCCGTGAAAAGGTTTTTGCCCCCTT